AGCATCTGCAGTTCCTACTATCTCTGAAACAGGAGTGTGTACATGTTTTCCGTACAGGGAATAGGGCCCTATGTGTTAATGTATGTAGCTTCCAGTTCCCACAAGTACAAAGGTTCTTTATGCTGCAGTCCTGGGCCTATTTGTACAATGTGGAAACACACGAGACAAAAAGTGACGAGGGGAAGTCACAGTAGGCCAAGGACAGGGAAAGGATTCAAGCTGTATCCAGCCACATTCAGTAATGACTTGTCAATTTATTTTTGAACAATGAAGTCCACATCCTATATTTGAAATATGAAAAAAAATACCTTGAATGACATCTTCACAACTCCAGTAGTAAGTCTCTTACCTTTGAGGTTTGTTTGATGGCTGCTACAACTGCATCAAACACATTGATTGGTAGGCGCAGGAGAGTGGTACCACTGTCCACAATGGCCTTGTCAGAGTTGTACTAAGATGAGAGGGAAAACAAGCACAATTTCGTGTCAGTAAAGTGATAACTCTCACGGGAAACACTTTCAAAATATAAACAAGACCAAGAAAGATGAGCGAAGTGACAATGCAACTTCAAGTTGACCTGTCAACATTAGGCCTGTATAAATCTAACCCAAGCACTGACATTCGATATTCCATCAATAATGTAGATCCCTGCATACAGACCCAAGAGCAGAACTAACTCAGTAACCAGGTTGAAACGATGGGTTGGAAGAGCTTTATTTACCAGGTATACCAATATACTGAGAGGCAGTCCTGCAAAAGTAACAACTCTTAAAATCTTATGTAAATACAAATTAAAATTCCTGGAGCATTCTTACAGTCATCTGGGGCTTAGTAATACAATTTTAGGCCTTGCCCTGAGGATTTGAGTGTAATAATTTAGGCTGTCATACTGAGTGCAGGCTGTTGAAGGTGCCATCTGTCAGCTGAACTGTTAAAGCAATGTCCTCTCTTCCATCTCAAGTGGTACAAAAATCCTGCGGTACCATTTGATGTAGAGCAAGTTTCCTGGTTGATACTTATCCCTTGGCAAAACTTTATAAGACAGATTGTTTCGTTTTTATCTCAGTTTTGTTTTGGAGGCTTGCTCTGCATTAATTTCAACATAGAAACAACGGCCACATTTCAAAGTGTACATCTGTTTGTATGTAGGTTACAAAAATCACAGAATTGTAGGATTCCCACAGTGTGAAAACAGGCCATTTGGTCCATCAAGTCCACACTGACCCTCCAAAGAGCATTCCACCCAGATGCACCCCCTTGCCTATCCATTTAACCCTGCATTTCCCATGGCTAATCCACCCAGCCTGCACATCCCTGGGCACTATAGCACGGCCAATCCACCTAAACTACACATCTTTGGACTGTGGGAGCAAACCCACACAGACAGGGGGAGAACTGGTAAACTCCATAAGCCAGAGGCCCGAGGGTGGAATCGAACCCGGGTCCTTCGGTGCTGCGAGGCAGAACTGAGACACCATGCTATACTATATAAATGCAGGCTCATTCACTTTGAGTAAACAAATGCTAAAGTATCTCCCAAAGGCATAAGTGACACTATTCAAATGTAAATTTTTTCATTCTACCTAATATAAAAATAATGTGTGAAACACGACTGAAATAAAACAGAAGACATTTATCTAATCTTTGGCTTTCAGAACAGTGTGTTCCATTCACATTCTCCCACAAACCTACTTTTATACTAACCCTTGCAGTCAGGGTAAGTTCAACTCTTAAACCACTTCACCTGCTGAACTGACATTGGGCACAAAATTAACCAGCTTGGATTAAGCAACAATAACGTGACCCAAAATATTTCTTTGAACAAAGTAAATTCCTCATTCTTTGTGGATCTGCTCATAGTTCAACATCCTGGAACAGCCAGTTTAAAATCAGATGGACTGATCGTTCCTAAGCAACAATTCAGTCAACCAATACCACTGGTTTGTAAAGCTGAGTCACCTTTCTGACAGGTTGAAGGAAGTTAGAGGGAAGGGAGGGCGAGGCTGATAAAAGAAGCCAGTTTAAATGATTACATTAAGTTTGCAAGTATTGTTCACTTTTAAGTGCAAACTCATACTGGGATGCAGAATAAGTAGCTGTCCTTTGTATTTAAGTATCCAGCCAGTGTTTACAGACTATTCCACATTGGGTGAATTCTAACAATTGTACAGCTTTAGTAGCAATGGGACAGCAGACAGAAACAGGATATCTTGCTGTCTAGTTTTCCCGCAGCTGTAGTGGGACATGTACAACTACTTTAACTGAGGGACATCAGACTTGCTGCTCTCACTGGCCTTCAAGATCAAGGGTCAAGTCAATTATTTGCAGATTTTAAGATACTGAAGGTATCTGCAATTTTGCAATGTACATATTTTAAACAGGTAAGCTCCACTCCCCACTGCAGGTACTTGAAGCATTTTTGGAATTCAAACAAGGCACAATTGCAATGTTATGAACTGTATCCTGTAGCACTTGAAAGACCCCTAAAAAATAAACGCAGGCTTATGTCACCCCTCACAAACAGAAGTTAAAGGGGGAAACTTTAAAATGAAAAGAAAGTTTGATTCACTTAGCACAGCTTTGGGTCCTATAATCCAGCATTGCGAAAATAGCATATGTGCATTTCATTTCTCCCTCCCTCAAAAAGTCACAGGTCACTTAATATTTCCGCACAATTTACACACGGCTTCTATTACTGGTGAGAAACAGGGTGGTTTATTTTCACATTAGTTTTTAAGTAGGGAAAAAAACACACCATTAACATTTTGTCCACAATGGTGTCTGAACATTGTCGATGAAATAGCGAGGATACTGTACCTGCTACATCTTAAAAGAAAATAACATAGAATCTTCCCATTACATTTTGAAATTTCAAGTTGTACACTGAAAGTGCAATCTTGAGTTACCAATTTTCATGTTTCATTCAACATTATCAACTGCATCTTCCAATACAGTACCTCAACAACAGAGAAGAAAGCAAACTGAACACTTGGAATTAACCAAATGAGAGTCAATAAAAAAGGTTAGAACTACATTGGCAAATATTCCTTTTAAATTTGAGAAAGTCAAAACTAACCTTACAAATACATGAATAAATGGTCTTCCCACACAGAATGAGCTTCGGTAAAACTATACACAAACGACACGACCTTGCTGTCAAATGCAAGCTCCTTCACTTTGTTGAGCTTTGCAGCTCATACATGCTCCTTCACACTGCCTTACAACACTGATACAGCTGCATTCTGCACTCATGCTCTGATCCATCAACTAGATTTCTTAAGGTTGACAAAAAGACTCAAATTAAAAATAATTAGGAGAATTCTACCTATGCAACTCAACAATGCCTTGAAGAATAGAAGGCACAACACATTTGGGCTTGAATACCAGCACTTTGAAGTGAATGGCCTTTGTATTGTGCCTGCTAATGTGGAGCCTAATGCTAAAGCTATTAAACAGCTCCTTTATAATCAAATCATTGTGTGTGGTTGATTTTGCCTCAACCTTCAAGTGTGAGAACCGATGGAAGGCATCAGTTCCAATTATTTCTCATTAGGTACTGAATGATGCTCTCCCACATTTCAATTAAAATTTCTTGCCTGCAGCAAACATTAAGTCTTAGAATCGATGATGTGCTTACCTCTGTACAATCCAGGTTTAAGTTTTGTCCTCCTACTTCCAGTTTAAGAACCTCAATTTGGTAATACCACTCTCTTTTGATAGGGGTGTACCATATATCCCCTTTATACAGACTCGCTTCAATTCCACCCATCACCTAAAAGTGACAAGAAAAAAGCTCCATTATAATGGTCAACATTATTTTAATGCAAAGGCAAGTTGAACACTTTCCAGGCTCCTTTGACAACACTTTCCAAATTCTCAACTTAAAAACGACAAGGGGAAAAGTCCCACGGGAACACCATCACTTGATAGCTTTTCTCCAAGTCACACAGCATCCTGATCTAGAAATATATTGCCACTCCATCGTCTCTGGCTCAAAATTCTGAAACCACTTTCCATACAGCGATGTAGAGTGTGCCTATACCCTGTGGAGTTCAGGATATGGCTGACCATCACCTTCAAGAGCAGTTAGAAATATTGGCCTTGCCAGCTATGCCTACATTTCAACAAGGAAAAGTAATAATTTTTTGAAAATTGGCCCAGTATAATACAATAAAATATCCTGTCTGTTGGCTGCAAGGGTCCTAGATAAATCAGGCTGGATGTAATCATATCTTGATTCTGTAAGAGAATTGCAAGCAAAAGGACGCCCCGAATTTAGCACAAATTAAAAATCTCATCCATAAAGCACAAGGAATTGGAAAAGAAAACAAAAAGAACATATCAGGCAAGAAGCTGACAAAGAACGCTGCTTAGAAGTTGTGATTGCAGCTAGAGGAAATATAAGGAGCCCAGCTCTATGAAAGATCATTACCAACAGCACAAAAGTACCAATCCTTAGCAGGGATATCTTTTACCTCCAGCACAAATTTTACCCAAATAGGCTATTTTTCGAAAAAGATGTTTGTATTATTTTGTTCGTTCATTGAATAATGTTTTTTTAAAAAAATTAGCTTTCTTGTAGCTGAAGGTGACAGAATATCCATTTACCGTAATTAGACTCTAAACATAGAGCCAGTGGGAAGGCAGTGGTGTTGTAGCAATGTCACTGGACTAGTATTCCAAAGATCCAAGATTAGCAATCCAGAAATCCAAGCCAGTGTTCAGGGGATGTACATTTGAATCCCACCATAGCTGATGCCAAAATTTGAATTCAATAAAAAAACTGAAACAAAGAGTTGCCCTAACAGTGACCATGCTGAATATCATAAAAACCCATTTGTTCCATTAATGTCTGTTAAGAAAGGAAATTTGTTATCCTTACCGGTCTGACTTACATGTGACTTGAGATCCACAGGAATGTGGTTGACTCAATGCCCTCTGGTCAGAGGTGGGAGCAAAGTGCTGTATTAAATCCCAGCCAGTGATGCACACAATCCATGAGCAAAAAAAAACTCAGAGGATAGAGGTGATTGAATGAAAGATCAATTCCATTCCAGTCAGTAATGAGTGGGATATAACATTTTTAAACATAAAGTTTTACAAGGATGTTGCCAGATTTGGAGGGTTTGAACTATCGGGAGAGACTGAATAGGCTGGGGCTATTTTCCCTGGAGAATCAGAGGCTGAGGGGTAACCTTACAGAGGTTTATAAAATCATGAGGGGCATAGACAGGGTGAATAGTCAATGTCTTTTCCCCTGGGTTGGGAAGCCCAAAACTAGAAGGCATAGGTTTAAGATGAGAGGGGAAAGATTTAAAAGGGATAAAAGGGACAATGTTTCATGTAGAGGGTGGTACATGTATGCAATGAACTGCCAGAAGAGGTGGAGTAGTCAGATACCTTTTCAATGTTTCAATTGTATCTGGATGGGTATATGAATAGGAAGGGTTTAGAAGAATATGGGCCAAATGCTGGCAAATGGGACTAGATTAATTTAGGATATGTGGTTGATATGGATGAGCTTGACCAAAAGGTTTGTCTCCATGCTGTACAACTCTATAACTCTATTTCAAAGCAACTTCTGCAACCAATGAGGAAGGTGTCAACTGCAGTTGTATGTGCTCACTTGATTTGCATTGTTGTCATCAGCAAGTTTGCAACAACCCCGGTTATATTTCTGGTTAGCAGTTCAGGACAGCACCTACTTCACTGCAAGAAAGTAGAATTAAATTAACCCCTGTTTCTAATCTGTGATTCAGCACATCAATCTCAGTGAGATTGTGCATGATGGCCATTTCTTCAAGCTAATTCCAGTTTCTTAAGACACCATGCAGGGATCTTTTACACAGTAAGGTAGCTCCTCTTAATTGCAGCTGATAAATTTTAGTTTTTGTAGTAAGGGAGACAATGGCACTCTTAATCCCAAGGTTGATGTTTCAAATCCCATATAATTTTCTTAAATATTTCAGTATTGACTTTCTTTAAACCAAAGATTTCCTTTAAACCCAAACATTACAATTAATACTCAATATTAGAAGTTGAGAATCTCATCTTTGGAAATATCTTGATTATTCAGTTTCATCATGAACTATACCAGCACTTATTTACACAGGGAAGAATAGCTAGATGAAACGTCAACCAGATACAAGAACTTTGATTTGCTTAAGTACTGCATAAACTTAAAAATGGACTGCTTGAATTTTATTATTAGTCTGGGTTAAGCCAACTTTCATGCATACAGCCGGCTCTGGCCTGACACTGCAGCACCATATGTTCACCCTAGAAATGTGGCACACGTAAATGCAGTTTATAAATTTAGTTTTAGTCTTGATGTGGAGGAGCTGGTGTTGGACTGGGATGGAGAAGGTCAGAAGTCAGACGACACCAGATTATTGTCCAACAGGTTTATTTGAAATCACAAGCTTTCATAGCATTGCCCCTTCATCAGGTGAAGTGAGCAAGAAGCACACAGGCACAGAATTCATATGCAGAGAGATCAAAAGAAAATATAAATGGTGAGAGTTTGGTCTTGGAAGCCTAAAGGAGGAGTTTGAGGACACTGCTCATGCAAGAGGTTTTGAATATAGAATGCATCATAAGTGGCCGGTGATATGAATTTAATGGGAGCATTTGTCCTAGTTCTAAGTGCACACTAGCTGTGTAGAATGGCCTGTTTCAATACTGTAGTTTGTGTGTAAATTAGTCAAATGAGCAAATATTAAACAATAAAAGGCAAGTGAAGAGTGAGTTTTAATGTAAAAAGGTTTTAGTGAGCAAAAGAAAGTCTGAAATATCCATTTCCTTGTACTGAAATTTCGAGGATTAATTTGAAAGATGCAATATAATTAATTACAGGAGCAGATGATAGCATGCAGTGATGCATTTTCCCTCTAAATCATTCTACAGCTTCAGAACTTGACACAAACTGAATCTAATGGGAATTTCCTAAGTGGCATTCCTCGTCCTGTGGGCCTCACGTTCCCTCCCCAACTTCAGAACCAGTAATCATTGAAATCACTTGTTTGAAAGCTTTTCCTTTTCCAGCCTCACATTTTTACTGTTTGACATCTCATATCATTGGTTCGCCTTCTTCAAATCAGATACAACTGGACATTTAGTGTTACATAGTAATAATTATTACTAAACAACTAATCTAGCCTTGCCAAAACTTCATTGCACTGTGTAAATTCCTACAAAGATAATTTGACTATTACTGCTTTCCATTCCTTGGTTGGCAGCCTGTGGGAATCCTTTAATTTGATTAGCTGCTTCGAAAGCTTGATGACATCACTGCAGCTCTACCCTAGGAATTCCCATTAAAGAACGCTACACTCAATTATAGAGTGAGTAAGAGGGTTAAATTTCTCACTACAAATATCTCAAGAGCATTAAGTGAGCTTTTGAGGTTAACAATGAATATCTTTCCTTTGTGCAGATCGCAAAACCTGAACCAACAAGACATTAAAGGTCAGTATGTAGGAGTTAAAGAAGGATCTATAATGGCATTCACTAAAGTCACATAAACGAGAGACAGATACTCAAAGTCTTTGTCGCTAGATCAGTTCTCATCTTCTGTGTTTTCGGGTTAATTCTTTTTTGTACTTATGGACACGAAGGATCTTAATACTGGGATTTCCTTTCTCCACTTTGTGCTAACAATGTATCCTTCCTTAACAAAATGCCTGCGTTGCATCTTCTGAGTACCCAAGCTTAAAGTGTCCTGCGACCAGCTCCAATTTCAGTCCAGTGCCTGCCAGAGCACCATGGAGTGTTTTACTTAAAAAGGCTGCCAATTTGCATGCATGCAGTTAGCTCTCTAACCCATACAAAATCTGAGCAGAATGTGGATCCAGATTCTCTGAGCACGTTTAACTTGAGATTTCTAAACAGCAAAGTACCATTTTTAATGCAAGCTGTTGATATCCAAACCATTGCATCCAGATAATTCCTTTTGTAATCCAGATTCAATGGTTTGTCCTGTCTGAAATTGGAATCAGCTGCACTTAATAGCTATTGCCTCGTTAATTGCTGTATTTTAAGAACACATGAAATAACAACAGGAGTAGGCCCCTCAAGTCTGCTCTGCCATTTAATAAGATGCTGGCTGATCCAACATTCCTCACATCCACTTTCTTGCAGTTTCCCCGTAACCCTAGATTCCCTGACTGATCAAGAGTCCATCTATTTTAGCCTTAAATATACACAAGAACTCTGTCCTCTACAGCACTCTATGGCAAAGATTTCCAATGACTTTCAAACTTCAGAGAAGAAATTCTTCCTCATCTCAGTCTTAAATTTTCAAGTCAGAATGTCGAGAACTTTTTAATTGTTCAGAGTTAAGCCTGTCAAAGAATAGGAATTTTGATGCAAGCATATTTTAAGGCTCCCAGGCCTTGGTTCAAAAGTCCAAGCAGCTGTTTGAAGGCCATAAAGGGTTGATATTTAGTTTACAGTCACATGACTTTTCTCAGAACTTACCAGGCTCCCTCCTGCGGGACTGGCTTGCTCTTCACCTATTAGCGACAATCCAGCACCACACATCTGCAGCGAGAATACATTTGGGATCCTGATCTGTTTTACTAATGAGTCAAAGAATGGCTCCACAGAACTGGATGGCTGTAAATGAATGAATGGGCAGAGTGTGAACGGAAGGAACCCAAATTGGCTGCAGATTACTAAATAGACTCCACAGTGACTTCTCAATTAAAAAAAAATTGATCCAAGCCTCCTTGGGAAGGGTGAAGAGGTAGCATTAAAATTACTTGAAATATAATGGAACTTACTTTGGCTAGTGTACTGTAGGCCAGCCCCAGAATGCCTTGCCAGTTTATTCCAGGCAGGAAGAAGTCCTCCGATTGGAGGATAGTGGCAATATTGGTAGTGATAGTGCCATTTGGTCCTTTTGGAATTGTGATGACATCAATGCCGAGTTCACCCTCCCAACTTCCCTGCGTATATCTGACTGACACAAACAAGTCTCTAGACATATAGGTGCTCGAGCTGGACAAGAAAAGAAATAAAAAAGTAGAAAGGTTTAGAATCCCACTAACTTACAAATAAAATCCATCATTAAGTACCATTCAGTATGCAGAATAAACATGACATGGTTAGTTATAAAATGACAAAACTTTTAATCCAAACTAAAGTAAAAAGAAGCAATAATCTTCAGCTCTTGCGCAACTTCATGACATGCAAGATAAATCCAGCTTTTTTCAGAGTCCAATTTGGATTCCAGCTCCACATTGGGAATGCAATAGAAGGTGAGAGACCTATATTTACTTAAGTATAATTTTCTTGGCTTAGATTTTTGAATTGAACTAGTGGCAAATGAGGTTTTTTTAATGTGCCTGAAGGGGTTTAATGTTGAACTTGTAAGCATTTCTGCAGCCTACTGATTTCTTTAAAACTGCCTGCTCAGACTTGTTTTAAAGACAAATTTGTTTGCAAATTCTTGCAATGTAAACCAAGTAAATAGTACATTCATTAAGCTTTCAGACAGAATATTCTGGATCTTTTGTTGTGGTTAGGCAGAAATACCTGTAAAAAGGATATTTTGAAGTTTTGGTTTGGAGAGTTCTGTCAAATTCTTGATTGAGCTGGATGTGTAAAATGGTTGCTCCTGAGAAAGGGAGATGATCATTTAGAATTCTTAAAAATGGGTTACCTTAGGGATAGAGAGTTTAGTTTAAAAGTTCCAGATCAAAAGTGTTTCATTAAAACCATGAAGTGGTTAGTTGAAGTTGAGAAAGTTTAAATTCAGTTATATGACAATTCAAGGAAGAGGATACCAAGATTCTTATGAGTATGAATCGAAGACACAACTAAGTTAAACAATGGCATACAGTAATATGATGCTGTTTGGGATTAATGGGATTGTATTTTTCACTGCGTTTAAAAATCCTTAAACATGTTGAATGTAAATAATTTGGTTCATTCTATTTTGCCTTCATTTCTCCCGCATAATAAACTTCTACCTTATTGTTAAAACCAAATTTGAAACAATGAATGCTTGTGTTTCAGTGAAAGACCACTTCATTAAAATCAAAACAATAAAACATATGACCTATGATCTATCAAGGCAGATTTCAGTCTAGAATCTGGTTTGTGGAATAACATTATCAACTGGAACCATAATAGGATTCAGCCATATAATCTGAGTTAACGTTTTACTGTAGTACGAGGTAGCCCTGCAATATCAGCACTGGCATTGTTTGAACATGTCAAAAGAAGGCCCTGTTCCACTGGTTCAAATGAATATCTAAGATTTCATATCCATATTTAAAGAAATGGACCAGAATTCAAACAGAGACAGATATATGATCATTAATTTCATTGTTTTTAGGAGGAAAACAATTTGGGTTTGTATAGCAACAATGTCAGGTAGCAGTCAAGGGCAATGGAACGCTGTAAACTCGCTTGGTCGGAGGTGGGAGTGGGGGCTATAAGGGAAGTGTTTCGGAAGGAGGTTACGGGGAGATTTTGAGAAACGTAGAGAAGACAGCTATCTGCAGAGGGTCCGAGTTGGCCAGTCAGGGAGATGAAGGAGGAAGTAGCAGAACATAAACAAAAACGAAAATTAAAGTACAGCCAGCAAAACCTTGGCAACTAAACAGAGGGAGGAACAAGTGTCTCAATGTCACCTTGTCAGCTACATAAACAGCTCATTGATTTAGCAACAAACAGCACAAGGCAACAATATGCAATTAAATGGCAGCTTTTACATTATAACTCTGACACCAAGCCATTCAGGGATATTAGAACAGTTGAGAAAGAGGTTCTTCAAAGAGGTATGTTTTGCAAGGATGCAAGAGAAGTAGGGAAGCAGAGGGGTTTGTAGCCTGAATTTCAGAGCTCTGGGCCTTTCCAGCTTAAGGCCTGGTGCCAATGGTTCAGAAATTAAAGTTGGGAATGTACAAGAGGCCAGAATTGGAAGACAGCAGCGATTCAGGAGGGTTGCAGGAGATTATAACAAAGAGGCAAGACCATGGAGAGATTTGAAGGCATGGATGAACATTTAAAATCAAACAGTCCATGCGTGTTAGTGAGCAGAGGCGATGGGTGAATGATGCAGCATAGGACATTAGCAGCAGATCTTTGGGTGACCTCAATACTTAAAAAAACCACTTTGCTGATGATAACCTAAAATATCTGCAGGAAATTAACGTAAAACACCCACAACAGTTTGTTCCAACCATTCATTACACAAGTGATGGAACACTGGATTTGGTCTGGATTGGAACATTGCCAAAAAGAAACAGGAGGACAAAGCTTTTCATCTTGCACTCTCAGGTGCAAGATGCAATAAAATGTGGATCGTTTTGATTAACCACACTCTAAATGAAACAGGATATCACTTACAGTTATGGTTACCACTCTATTGGCCATACTCTTGGAAGCACAAAATCGCCCGACTGATCTAATCAAACTCCAAATTCCAACATTTTCATAATTAATAAATCAAAATTTAAAAAAGTACAATATTTCTAATGATAAGAGATAACAAGGTGTAGAGCTGGATGAACACAGCAGGCCAAGCAGCATGAGAGGAGCAGGAAAGCTGATGTTTCAGGTCTGGACTCTTCTTCAGAAATGGGGGATGGGAGGGGATTCTGAAATAAATAAAGAGACAGGGGGAGGTGGATAGAAGATGGATAAAGGAGCAGGTAGGTGGAGAGGAGACGGACAGGTCAAGGAGGCAGGGATGAGGCTGATAGGTAGGAGGTGGGGGTGGGGTTGAGGTGAGAGGAGTGGATAGTTGGGAGAAAAGACAGACAGGTCAAGGAGGTGGGGACGAGCACGGCTGGTTTTGGGATGAGGTCGGGGGTGGGGAGATTTTGAAGCTTGTGAAGTCCACATTGATACCATTGGGCTGCAGGGCTCCCAAGTGAAATATGAGATGCTGTTCCTGCAACCTTTGGGTGGCATCGTTGTGGCACTGGAGGAGGCTCAGGATGGACATGTCGTCCAAGGAGTGGGAGGGGGAGTTGAAGTGGTTCGCGACTGGGAGGTGCAGTCGGTTGTCACGAACCGAGAGTAGGTGTTCCACAAAGCGGTCTCCAAGCCTCCGCTTGGTTTCCCCGATGAAGAGGAGGCCACATCGGGACCAGCGGATACAGTATACCACATTAAACAGATGTTCGCCTGCAC